CATTACCCTTGTGCAAACAGTCAATTTCAATGTCTGTTGAAGACGTAAATGAAAGTCTCCTCTTTGCTTTCTCACAACTATTTTTTAACCTCCTAAGTGCTTTGGAGTTTCCAGTCACGTCTAAGTTATTCTTCCTCTTGAATTGCTCCACACAGTAATTCACCATTCTGTTATCTAGGTCTTCACCTCCAAGGTGAGTATCCCCAGCAGTGGCTTTCACATCAAACATGCCGCAACTAATGGTAACTAGCGACACATCTAAAGTACCGCCACCAAAATCAAACATCATAACATTTCTCTTGCTGTACCAGCCAGCCTTCTTGTCAAGGCCATAAGCAATGGCTGCAGCAGTCGGTTCATTGATGACACGCAGCACCTTTAGGCCGGCACTCATAGCTGCATTTTTTTTGTAGCCTGACGCTGTGAGTCACTGAAGTAAGCAGGGACTGTGACGACCGCACTCTTAACAGTTGAGCCGAGGAAGGCCTCAGCAATCTCTCTCGCATCTTTCCCAATACCATTGATGAGATTTCTTCAGCAGCAAACTGCTTCTCTTGGCCCTTGTGAGTGACCACAATCGTAGGCTTATCATGAGGACCTTCGATGACCTTGAAAGGCCACAACTTAATATCATCTTGAACACATGAGTCACTAAATCTTCTACCAATTAATCGCTTTGCATCTAAAAATTGGTGCCACAATTAGAAAACAAATCTAACAAAGTAAAATAATTAAAAAGAATTTTGTAAACAAATCTGTATAGAATAACAATAATTTTAACCAGAAAACTGGTGCAAACTTTAATACTATCATTGTAGTTCGACTATGACTTCTTAAGCATCAATCTTAAGTCTCCCATTGAGATCACCATAACAAAATTAAGACAAATCTTTCAGCCCCTTTTATTAAAATAACACAATATGTGTCATTATCGATTTGAGAAAAGCTGATTATCAATTTGGAAAGTACAAGTGGGAAGAACCTTACCAAAGATGGAGTTGGAAGGGTTTCTGATGAGCTGGTTAAATGCAGCATCACCAACCAGTATTTCGGCATCAGTGAATGCAACGTGAGATGGAGTTGTCCTGCTACCCTGATCGTTCACTATAATTTCTACATGATCATACTGCCACACCGCCACACACGTTGTCCCCAGGTCGATCCCGATTGCATGACCTTCAGCTTTGTCTTTTCCCGCCATTCTAAGCTAAGAAACTGGAAGAAGAACAGTACTAAAGAACAGAATTGAATGGTAGCAGAGAAAGAAGATAAAAGAGAATAGAAAGTAGAGAAGATATTATGGGGAACATAGGACACTTTTGATTCTTTATTCTTTTTCTTTTGGGTACACTTTTGGTTCATTATTTTCCAAATTTAAAGAAGCAATGTACAGTAAGTTTTAATCTTCTTCATGAAGTAATCTTCTTCATTAAGTTCCAAATTTAAAGAAGCAATGCACAGTATGTATAAAGAAGAAGAAAAACTGTTGCAGAGAGAGTAGTAGGGAGATGACTTTGGCTGGGAATTAATTTCTACTTGGGAAATGTATAATCATTTATGTTTTTCTGTCTAAATAGTTGTGCAGGGAGCAACAATTTATGTTTAGTTCCTTGTTTATGCCAAATTAAGATTCATCAATGCCGAAGCACAAATTTTGAATTTGAAGTGCTTAATACAAATTTGGCGTGCAATACTTTTTTTAGCTACTTTATAACTTCATTAATTGTACAAAAGTACCGAAAAAAAAAATATACCAAACAAACAAACGACACCAATACTAGTGGCGGAGCCACAGAAGCTCAAAGAGGTGTGGCTGTACTTGTGGTTGTCAAAAATAGACCCTAAGAACAAAAATACGCCCCTCTAATTCTTCTAAACTTGCACAAAAACCTGCAATCCCGTTTGCTGCTGCCAGAAGTTGCACGGCCGGCCCTGAAAATTTGGGACCCTAGGCGAGCCTTCGAAGTTGGGCCCTAAAATTCTCTGATCTCTGGTTCTTTGTATATTGATTTGTATAAAAAAGAATTCGCTAAATACATAAAAAGTTCTATTTTCATATCAAATATCATTAAAAATTAATGTCAAAAGAAGATAAATATACAAACATTATTTAAACATTACACGATTCACGTTTTTAGACACAAATGTACTAAATGTTTGCAATAAAGAGTTTAAGATTAAGAGTGAAGAACAATAAAACTTGATGATCAAGAGAGTAAATAACAACAAAACTTGATTGATGAGTATAATAAATTCAATACCAATTGTTTCTCTTGTGTTTTTTTCCTTCTAAAATCAACATCACACTAACGAATTGAATATTAAAATAATCCATTGAATAAAAAGTTATTGAAAAAAAAAATATAAAATTCAAAGTTTTGATTACCTTAAAGTACAATCTTTAAGCCCATATGATAGTTGATATGATAGTTGGTTTAAACATTCAATAGAAATGGAGAGAATGAGAAGTTGAAAGAAAAAAAATTGCAAAGAGACTTGAGTTATATAACTTTATATTTATTTGGACAGATGGATTGGCAGTAAATTTGAAAAACAAGAAAAATCAAGAAAAATCTAGTGACTGAAAGGCAGCTTTGTGTTTCGAACTCAACACCTCAAAGAAAAATGAAGCCGATATTTCCACTACACTAGCAAATAAATTATGATATTTTTTACTTTTTTTGTAGTTATATGTTAATTACAGGATATAAATTTTTTTTGAGGGTCCTTCCGAAATGGGACCCTAGAAGGGCGCCTACTTGGGTTACCCACAGGGTCGGGTCTGAGAAGTTGCTCCGGTCTTGGTGATGTAAAACTGTATAAGTTGCAAATTTTGCAACTCACCGGAAAGGGTAGGTAAAGATGCATAATTGCAAATCAACACATTTTCTCTCCCCCGTGAGAGTCCTCCTGAGTGAGTGTCTTTTCTCTCCTCTGTGGGAGTGTCCGGTTCTCGGCTTTCCTGTTCGTGGGCTTCTTCCTTTTTTGTTTCCCTATTTTCTGATTTGGTGGTTTTGGCTTGCTCTGATCGGTTACCCTACTTCCGAATTCGGTGTCGGTTGGAGTGCTTTTCCTCTTGGTCGTGGTTGCTTGCTTAGGTTGGGGGCGAGTAGCTTGGGGCTCTGGGAGATGCGGTACCCCTTTTGGGTCCCATTTCGGCTCGCCTTAACTAGGTTTCTGATCTGGTGGGTGGGGTGGCCTTTATTGCAATACTGCATTGGGAAGGTTGAAGCACAGAGGTTTGGTAAAATGATTAATGTCCTTTGCCATTTCAGAGCAGTTATTGCTCTAAGTGTTAGATTACCTGTATTGGTGGTTCACAATCGCGTCTGGATCTATTTCTGGAGAAGAATTGGCTTTACTGGGTTCACGAACAACAGTGGAAGAAACCAACAACAGGATATTATAGCTCAAGGTATACTTCTCACTGTCTTCTTTTTAAGTACCTGGGGTCATACAATGTGTGATGTTCGGGAACATAATCGGGATGGGGTGTCAGAGGAGGTAGCGGATCTGGTGGTGCAACTAGAAGAATCTCTAGAATTAACAACCATGGAAAAAAGGGTTCAGATGGTGGGGGCAGTTCTTTATGATAAGTCGCTGAACAGGTGGGGGATAAGGAATATCTTGCGTTCTGCGTGGAAGGAGTTTGGAGACGTGCAAATCAAATGGGTGAAAGATAACATATTCAGCATTATTGCTCCGGATGAGAGCGCTGCGAGAAAAATCCTCTCTCGGGTCCCGTGGGCGGTGATGAAGAAAAACTTTTCTGTTACAAGGTGGCCCCGGGCTTTAGCGTTGGAGGAAGTTCAGTGGGAACTGGTCCCGTTCTGGGTCCAAATTAGGGGGGTTCCGTTATGTTTTACTTCGGAATCGAATATTAAGAGGTTAGCGATGGAGATTGGGCAATTTGCGGAGCTGGAAGACCCATCTCTGGCTCGAAGGTTTTTGCGCGTCCGAGTGGTGGTTAACACCACTAAACCATTAGTTACGGGCTGTTGGTTGCCAAGGAAGCAGAATCAGGATACCTGGATTGAATTTAGGTATGAAAGACTTCAGGATTTTTGCTATCGTTGTGGTAGAATTGGGCATATGAACACGGAATGCTCCTTTGGTCTGGGAAGGAATGGAGGTGCGGGTTTTGGAGAATGGATTAAAGCAGCTCCGATTCGAGACACAACTGAGAATCTGCGACCTGTGCAATGTAGCCTTAGTGAAAGGAGGCTAGCTGGTATGCCAAGGATGGTCGAAAGGGGAGGAAGGAAGCAGCGCGTGGGGGACACGGTGGCTATGGATAGTGGGGAACCAGAAGATCACAATTTGGGACCCATCAGTATTGCTGAGGTTTGCAGTCCAAGGGAGGTGCAGAGCGGGGGACAAATTGGCGGTTCTAGGGATATGAGTAGGAGGACGAAATCTTTTCATTGGGTTATGGAAAAAAATATGCAAGGTGTCAACAGACAGTTGGTTTTGGGGTATGGTTTTTTAGGCCCACAAACTCTCAATTCAATGGGTTTTCAAAGCCCGCTGGACTTGGGCCCGTCCATTAGGGGTGCTGCAATTAACGACGTTCGTCAAATTGAGGCTGTGATGGGCCATTCCCCACCAACCCTGGGGCCTTCAGCGGAAGTAGGCCAGCAAGAGGATATTGCGGAGCCAGATGCGCATATTACTCATCAGTCAGCTGTGTGCTCTCATATGGCCGATGGGCTTCGCCAGACCGTCAAGAATTCTCCGCCAATCAATTCCAGAGTTGTCGGTAGAAATAAGAGACCGATGGAAATGAAACCAATGGATTTGGCGCTTTCAGCTCAGAAGAAGATTAAGAAGAAAGACAGTGGTGCCTTGCGAAGGGACATTGAGCGTTCCCGGAACCCCAATGGTCACGCGCAGTGCGAGGAAAGAGATAGGGTGCAGGATGGAAGGATTCTGCAGGCTTCGACTGAGGGAGGTTCATTCCAAGGCGGTGGCGGCTGGCCTTCAACAGCCGCAAGGAAGCCATGACTTACCTACTATGGAACTGCCGTGGTCTTGGGTCAGACACGGTAGTTAGGGCCCTTCGTGGGCTGATTCAAAAGCATAGACCCACTATGATCTTTCTGTCTGAGACTAAAATGAAAGATCATAGGCTTGATGGTATTCGAAGGAGATTGGGTTATTCTAATGGTTTTCATGTTCCTCCGGTTGGCAGGGCGGGGGGATTGAGTCTGTGGTGGCAAGATTCGCTCAGGGTTATTGTCGTCTTCTCATCGAAGCATGTCATTGATGTTTGTTATTATCTTGAAGAAGTTGGATCCTGGGTGAGAGGTACTTTTGTTTATGGCACTTCCTATCGTGCCGAAAAGGTGGAGTTTTGGAATTGGCTCCAAAATTCGTTTGGCCCGACGGATATCCCGTGGCTTTGTGGCGGGGATTTTAACGAATTCATGTGGGATTCTGAAAAATCTGGAGGAACCAGTGTTTTGTATAATAGACCTACCTTTCTTAGTAATTTTTTGTCCGCGGCGGAGTTAATGGATCTGGGATTCATAGGGCCTAAGTTCACTTGGCGTGGGATAAGGGCTGGGCATCTGATTGAGGAAAGGTTGGATCGGGTAGCTGTTAATGTTAGGTGGCAGGACCTCTGGCCCAATTCTGTGGTCGTTCATGAATCGGCTATTGGTTCTGATCATTGTCCAGTGGTGGTTCAATCTAAGCCTCCGTTCCGAAAGGGTAAAAGGCCTTTTCGATTTGAGGCTTTCTGGGCTAAGGAGGCAGATTGTCGAGATGTTGTGCAGAATAGTTGGAGTTTGCAAGGCAAGGATAACTGGTTGGATTCGTGGCACCATAAACTCTCGGTCTGTAAGTCTTCTTTGATTAATTGGAGTAGAAACAAGTTTAAGCAGAGAGGGCTGGAGATTGAAGCTTTGATGAATCATCTGGCTAGTCTGCAACTTAACTGGGCGGATAATCTGGAAGAGATCAAGGCTCTAACAACTAGAGTTGACCAATTACGAGAGCAAGAGGAAATGTATTGGTTACAATGATCTAGGGTGAAATGGCTTCGGGAGGGTGCGAACACGGCGTTCTTCCATAGTACTACTCTCCAGAGGAGGAGGCTGAACAAGGTGGCCAAATTTAAGGGGGATGACGGGCTTTGGGTGGAGGAGGAGAATCAGGTTTTGGGTATAGTGGAGGATCATTTTCAAGCCTTGTTTACCTCGGCGGGCAGCAGGGATTGGGGTGATACGATTGATTGCATTGTGCCTTTGGTGTCGGACGGGATGAATGCTGAGCTTATTAAACAGGTGTCCGATGAGGAAATTAAGGATGCTGTTTTTCAAATGGGTGGTTTGAAAGCTCCGGGGCCGCATGGTTTCCAAGGTATCTTTTTCCACTCCTACTGGGATATCATATTGGCGGAGGTGAAGGGCTTAGTGGGGGACTTCATGAGGGGGGTGGGCATCTCTAAGCGGATTAACTCTACGCATATTGTGTTGATTCCTAAAGTTGCCAGTCCGGAGTCTGTGGCTCAGTACCGGCCTATCAGCTTGTGTAATTTTTCTTTTAAAATTCTTTCGAAGGTTTTGGCCAATAGATTGAAGCCGCTGCTGCCGGAGTTAATCTCGCTTATGCAGAATGCTTTCGTTTCGGATAGGCAAATCCAAGATAATATTGGGATCGCTCACGAATTGTTCCATTTTCTGAAACTGCGGAAAACTAAGCGAAAGTTTGAATTGGGTATTAAAATTGATATGCATAAGGCATATGATCGGGTTGAATGGGACTTTTTAGAAGCGGTTCTGTTGAAATTGGGCTTTTGTAGGGGCTGGACGAACTTGATTATGAATTGTGTGACTACTGTGGAGTTTGCTGTGTTACTAAATGGGAAACCTGGGCAGCGGTTTACCCCTTCTCGGGGAATCCGGCAGGGTGATCCTCTTTCACCTTATTTGTTTCTCTTAGTTAGTGATGTTCTATCCCGGCTAATCCAGCGAGGTTAGCCTCTGCAAGTCCAGTGTGTATTTTGGCAGAAATGTTCCTCCTCTGTTGCGAACTCAACTTAGTTCCATTCTCGGAATGAATTGGTTTCTGATCCGGGGGATTATCTCGGTCTTCCGGCTATTTGGGGAAGATCTAAAAGACAAAGCCTTGCTTACGTGAAGGGAAGAATGCTTGGAAAAGTTCAGGGATGGAAACAGTCTTCCTTGTCTCTTGCGGGTAAAGAAGTATTAATTAAAGCTGTGCTTCAAGCTATTCCGTCTTACCCTATGAATTTGTTCAAATTCCCGAAGGCTGTGTGTAATGACCTGGACTCTATTGCTGCTCGGTTTTGGTGGGGAGATTCTGCAGACCGAAGGAAGATCCATTGGATGAGTTGGGATCGATTGAGTCGGCCTAAGTGTGATGGAGGTTTAGGATTTCGGAACTTCCAGGATTTTAACGACGCTTTGCTGGTCAAGCAATGTTGGCGGCTTATTCATAATCCCAACTCTTTATGGGCTAGGACTCTTAAGGCCCGTTATTTTCCATACTCCTCCTTCCTTGATGCTAAGCTTGGGAGTCGGGCCTCGTGGGCTTGGGCTAGCCTATTAGTGGGGCGGGATATCCTCAAAGCTGGGGCCCATTGGCAGATTCTGAATGGCAGGGATACTAGGCTGTGGATTGATAGATGGCTGCCTTCACTCCCTCTTGGGCATCCTGTTCCCCGTGGTAATATTCCTGTATCTGTGAATATGAAGGTTTCCTCCCTTATTAGGGAGAGTACCGGATCCTGGGATATAGAATTCTTACACCCTTTCATTTCAGAGGAGGAGATCACTGATATACACGCCATTCATTTGGGATCTCTTTCTTCCTGTGATCGTCTGATTTGGCCTCTGGAGAAAGGGGGCTGTTACTCGGTTAGATCGGGCTATCACTGGCTTCACTCTCGGCGGCTGGGGGTGGGAGCTTCTACCTCTTCTGATGCTTTGTTTTGGAAGGGTGTTTGGAAAATTGATGCTCATCCCAAAATTCGTAACTTTATCTGGAGAGCAATCAATGAGATGTTGTCCACTATGTGTGGGTTATTCCTGAGACGATCGACCTCCTTACCGGTGTATCCAATCTGTAAATCTCAGGAGGAATCGGTAGTTCATATGTTGCTGCTTTGTCCTTGGGTGGCTCCCGTGTGGTTTGGGGGGCAGCTCGGGCTTCGGTTTTCTGGGAGTGGGCCTTCTTCCTTCCTCGATTGGTTCAAGGGTCTTTTTCTTGGGGGACCTTATACTGAGGATAGGTCGAGGATCATCTCGGTTTTTGCCTTTTCTTGTTGGCACATATGGAAGGCTAGGTGCAATTTTGTTTTCAATGCTGTAGCGGTTGTCCCTTCCCAGGTGATGCATGCTATTTCTTTCTCTGTGGCTTCCTTCTGGGAGGCTAAGACTCCATGCTTCCAACGAGTCACTTCTTCTATTGCTGATCTTGGTCTTGCTCCTCGTTGGTGTCCCCCGCCTTATTCCTTCATCAAAATTAATGTGGATGCTAGCTGGTCCCCGGTTGATGGTAAGGCTTGTTTGGCTGCAGTGTTGCGTGATCATGTGGGCCAGTTTGTGGCGGCTCATAAGATCGCTGTTGCGGTGCAGTCGGCGTTGTTTGCGGAGGCTATGGCTATGCTGCGGGGGTGCGAGTTGGCTGCCAAGTTGGGATTTCAAAGGGTTATTACGGAATCGGATTCTTTGGAGGTTGTCTCTTCTTTGCGGGGGGATATTTCCAAGGGCAGATGGGAAGTGTTCCCTATTCTTCAGAATATTTTGAGTGTAGGGGTCTCTTTTCAGGACTGTCGCTGGTCTTGGGTTCCAAGACTGGCCAACCAAGCGGCGGACCTTTTGGCGTCGAGGAAGAATATGGAGATGTGCGATCACTTTTGGGACCGACGTCCCCCATCTTCATTGGTTCACATTCTCGATAAGGATGGCCTTCCATGCCCCCCGTAATCGTTCTGTGCTGTGGCGGTGTGTTGGGTCGGCGTTGTGCCTTTGTGGCAGCGTCTTGTTGGTGTCCTGCATTCTGCCTTCCTGTGTTTTGCTTTGTTCGTCCCTTTGTGGATGTTCCTTGTGTTGTTGGTTGTTGCCCTGGATGTTTTTCCAGTCTTCCAAAAAAAAAAAAAAAAAAATGCATAATTGCATCTGATTTTGCATCACAAAAGGTAGGCTCCACAAGGGAAAAAGAAGAGAGTGGTTCACGTGGGATGCAAAATACTATTTAAAAAGAAAACAGTTTCCTTTATACATAGGCATAGCATTTTTTTCATTCATCCACCAATTTTTTTCTCTTTCAATTCTCACACAAAACATTTCCTCATTAAACTTTTTCTAGTTTTGCTTCAACCCTTGTGAAATCAACGTCTAAATGAGATGAAATCAATGTTGTCCAAATCTTGAAAAAATTTCATCCAATTGTGCGGAAAAAAAAGTTATGTTAACAAAAAAATCTACATAAAAACGAATAAATACTTACAAATCAAAATTGTCATCTCCTCATTTACATTTATGCAGCGGAGCAAAACAAAATTCACACCTCTGGAAATGTAAAAGTGACTTTGCATCCCACATATACATGGTGTTACTCGTTGCATCCCATTATTTTCTGTATTATTTTTATCTTGTTGATAATTCTTCCGTGTACTTTGAAAAGCACATCATATCTCTTTTCACTTGAGTTTTATTGTCCATAGGAGTCAACACATGACGCATGCATATAAAACATGCTGATCTGTGTTGCCATCTATATACATATTATTTTTGTTTGGGTTTTAGTACTAAAAATCCTATATTATTTTTGTTTTTGGAACTTAAGATGATAAGTTCACCTGCATAAAGAGTTAATGGCAATTAGTTTACTTCATACACAGAAAATGCTCTATTTTTTGTTTTTGGATACTGAAACGTCATGTTAGATCAGCAATGTATAGGGTTAACTATAGCTTTTGCAAAGATTTTAAACTACGATTCACCATTGAATGTAAACATAAGTGCATATAAAACATCCCCATACAAATTTGAAACATGGATAAACCTCAACTTTAGCCTCGTTTTGCTGTAGTTTTATCATTTCCTACATGATCTCAATTCCATCGCAATTTTTTCTGTCACAGTTGATCGAAATCCTTTTCTCTCGACCGGTAGACTTGTCTTCTGCAGAGACAGTTAGGATACCATTGTCATCAATAGCAAAGCAAATAGTGATTTTAGGAACACCAGCAGGAGCTGGAGGTATGCCATCCAGAATAAATTTACCCAACAAGTTATTATCTACGACTGCTGTGCTCTCACCCTCAAAAATGGCTACCGTTCCTTCAGTTTGGAAATCATAGATAGTAGTGTAAGAATCTTTCTTGATCCTCACAGGAATTCTTGTATTTCTAGGAATAATAACTGACATGCGATTATCAATCCCAATCGCCACACCAAGTGACAGAGGGGTGACATCCAAGAGAGCAAAGTTTTGAATCTTCCCAATTAGATCCCCACCACTCAAGACGGCTGCTTGAACGGCTGCACCATATGCTATAGCCTCATCCGGATTGATGGTCTTGCATAGTTTCTTTCCCTTGAACACATTCTGTAATAGTTGCTGCACCTTGGGGATTCTAGATGAGCCACCAGTGAGTACAACATCATGGACTCTGCCTACATCCATTTTAGCATCCATCAAACACTTATGCACAGGTTCCATGCACTTGTCGAATAAATCACTGTTGAGCTGTTCAAATTTGGCACGGGTAATGGTTATATGGAAATCGATACCTTGATGCAAACAATCAATTTCAATGTCTGTGGTCGTCATAAATGAAAGTCTCCTCTTTGCCTTCTCACATTCACTTTTTAACCTTCTAAGAGCTTTGAAGTTTCCACTCATGTCCAACTTATGCTTCCTCTTGAAGTGCTCAACGCAATAATTAACCATTTTGTTATCCAAGTCTTCACCTCCTAGGTGAGTGTCTCCAGCCGTGGCCTGCACTTCAAAGACACCATCACCAATGGTAACTAGTGACATGTCTAAAGTACCACCACCAAAATCAAATATCATCACATTTCTCTTGCCATACCAACCCGCCTTCTTGTCAAGCCCATAAGCAATTGCTGCAGCATTTGGTTCGTTGATGATACGCATCACCTTCAGGCCAGCGCTGATACCTGCACTTTTTGTAGCCTCACGCTGCGAATTATTGAAATAAGCAGGAACTGTAATAACAGCATTTGTCACAGTTGATCCGAGGTAGGCTTCAGCAATCTCTCGCATCTTTGCCAGAACCATGGATGAGATCTCTTCGGCAGAAAACTGCTTCTCTTTGCCTTTTTGAGTAACCACAATCATAGGCTTATCTCCGGAACCTTCAATTACCTTAAATGGCCACAGTTTCATATCACTTTGAACAGAGGCATCACTGCGTCTCCTACCAATTAACCTCTTCGCATCTGCAAAGTCATGCGGATTTTTTATTTTCTAAACAAGTTAAAGAACTTTTAACAAAGAACAATACCAAGGACATACCAGCAATTTTGATGAATCCAAGCATATGATTCAAAAAACAAAATACCATAGGGTAAATTTTGTCAAACATATCATTTTTCACAACTTCTAATGTCAATTCTAAAGTGGATAGTAGTTGCTCTATATTGCTTTAAGTAACAATTCATTCAAAATTGTCATCGGTAGTATATTAAAAGTATGGCATATTGCATAATTGTTGCACCCTAGTGAACAGGTATTGATCACTTGTATCAATTATTGCTTGTCCCAAATTTAATTTATGTTGAAAATTTGAACCTCAAGCTCGGCATAACTTCGCAATTGTGTATACAAGTACAACAAATCCAGGATTGAAAGAACCAGGTGACTACAAAACTGAACAAAGAAAATATGTACTCACAACATATTTCATAGAAATATAAGCTTACCAAAAATGGAGTTGCTGGTGTTTCTAATAGCCTGGTGAATTGCTGCTTCACCAACCAGTATTTCGGCATCAGTGAAGGCAACGTGAGATGGAGTGGTCCTGTTACCCTGATCGTTCACTATGATTTCTACATGATCATTCTGCCACACCGCCACACACGAGTAGGTTGTCCCCAGGTCGATCCCGATTGCGTGGCCTTCTTCTCTTGCCATCCTGTGCACGGGAACACGACAAAGAAGAAAAGAAGGGAAGAAAAATGATTGCAGTGAGAGTAATAGGGAGGAACTAGGGAGAGTGAGTCTGGCTAGTTTAGTGGGGAAGAGAAAGTTCAGAGTGGTGTCTATCATAAGTTAGATATATACTTGGGAACGAACGTCATTTATGTTTTGCTTTACTAAATTGTAGTGCAAAAAACCTTGAAATAAAAAAACCTTAGAATGCAATACGTCTCCAAAATTTGTTTTCTGTTGGCTGTTTTAAACTTTTATAGCAAAAAACCTTGGAATGCAATAAGTCTCCAGAAAACCTTGGAATGCAATAAGTCAACCAAAGCACAAATTTTGAAACGTTTAACAGTTAATAGACACGGAAATTTTTTGAAATGTCATATGAATTTATATACATGTTTTAATGCGGACTGTTATTAGCATTCCAAAAATTTTATTCTACATTTCTCACAAATATATTTTTATGTTTGGAGAACAAAATGAGATTTTTGAAGTGTCAATAACAATTCCCTTTTTAATTTGTCATATTAATTAAAATATTAAGCGATTTGTTATATTAAGTTTCCAAAATCATTAATTTGTTATCTCACATTAACCTTGTTAGTTTTTTATCCACAATACATAAGTCATGTGCATCACACATGAACATATGTGCTTCAAAGAAGAAGTAATTATGGGAAACATAGGACACTTTTGGTTTGTCGTTATTTTTCTTTTGAACAATTTTTGGTTCATTATTCTTTTTCTTTTGGATACTTTTTGGTTCATTAAGTTCCAAATTTAAAGAAGCAATGTACAGTGAGTTGTAATCTTCTTCACTAAGCTCCAAATCGAATAAGACTAGATAAAAAAAAAGAAGGATGCGATTTGGATTTAATAAAGTAATCTTCTTCATTCAATTACCAAACGGAAAAATTAATCTGTTTCATCGATTTGTTTGAGCTTTTACGATGAGCTTGATCGAGCTCAACGAATTATGTTCATATGTTGATACAAAGCAGATTGGATGCCTGAACGAACTTAATTTTCAAAAGTTGATACAAAATTAAGTCATTAAATTCTTATTTATGAAACATGATTTATAAAATTGACATTTTTTTTACAGAGATTTGGATTAGATTATCAGCAGTTGCTAAATCTTGTCACAGTAGTGTCATGGATCCTAGAGAGCGGTAACATACCCATTTATATTCTCTTGCAACAAACATCTTGGAGTATGAATTCCAACGTACTAAAGAAGAAAAAGAATCCTAATGTTATAATGACTCAAGAAATTTCATGGAACCGAGTAAACATGACACATCAGTTGTTTATCTATGTCAAATTTTTCATTAAACCCATTTCGCGCACTGAGCTGTAGCAAGATTACAGAACTCAACACATATTTCTTTCATAACAAAAACAATCAGCATATCAAAACGATGTTATGATGCATGAAAAGCAAGCAAAAGGAGTGCCTATAAACTGTAACGACCCATCCCCAATCATTATGGTTTTTATCATTTTAAAGTGTGAATTTACGAAAATGCTATTCGAGGCAAAAATGTTGACTTTCGTTGACCACATTGTCGTGTCACGTGAGATCCATTTTATTGGTGTACCCTTGTAGTACTCGTCGTTACGAACGCGTGGGCGCAAGCAGAACCGAATTTGGAGTTACGATGAGGTAATAGGGAGGGACTAGAGAGAGTGAGTCAAGCAAGTTTATTGGGGAAGAGAAAGAGTTCAGAGTGGTGTTTTTCATAAGTTAGATCTAACTTGGGAACGAAGAATCATTTATCTTTTATTTTTATAAAAGTTTTGTGCA